ATTTTTATTTCATTCTGGATAACTAATTATTTTCTCTTTTCACGCACATGAGAAAGAGAGAAGCAGCATGAAAAGGACTCTATAGGTTAGTAGTTAGAAAACTCATCCAGGATGTGGAAGACAACTCATCCAGGTTGTGGAAGACAAAGAATCTAGTCCCCTGCACCAATGAATTTTATTTATTTATATATACACACACAATAGTGCAACAGCTTCAACAAGAGAGACTGATGGCACTTCACATCAGAATATGCTACAGTCCAATGGTTAGAGCACTCACCTAAGAGATGGCAGATCCATGTTCAAATCCCTTCTACCTCTCAGGTGGAAAGGGGGTATTAAGACAGGAGTCCCCACATCCCGGGTGACTGCCCCAACAACTGGGCCAAAAGTTCCCCTGTTCCCCATCCTGGTCTGTTTTATATACACTCACCTGAGGCACCAGTCCAGCAGGAGAGCTCAGAAGATGCCTATTAGACTGGGACCCACATATGACTTTGGTGGCCAACTGCCTATCTTCTCTTGAAAACTGCTCTGGGGCTTTGGTGAGAGAAAGATCTAGAGTGGGACTGCAGTGTGCACATTCAAGGGGAGAAACTTAAAATTTACAAAAAACTTTACAGCAAAAATATAGGTGCCAGATAAATTAAGGTACCTACAGGATTTAGTGGGAGCTTTGTGCATTGCAGAGGTCCTGAAACTGGAACTTAGATATCTAACCCCTTTTGTGCATCCAGCCATTCTGCCTACCCAAAACGTCTTCAAGAACGTCACTTTGATATAGTGCCCTTCATTTTCTTTTGTTATGTGTTGTGATGCATTTCTTCATCCTGCTAAATGATAGTGCCATGCACTTTTTGATGACCATACACACAGAGCGAAACACACACCCAGTTTTAGGGATATCTTTATAAAGACACTATGAAAATGTCAGATATTGGCTAAAATTATTGTAAATGAACAGCAGCACCATAACATAAGAATCTGTATGATATTAATACTAATTGCAGATCTTTTTGAGTCAAGATCAATAGCACAAAGTAAAAAGAATGTACTGTAGTTTGAAGGCACTATGATTTTTACAGTTCGTATTAGAATCTGCATGAAAGCATTAGACCCTAGTGAAACAAATAACTGAACTTGTAATCATATTCTGACCTAAATGATCCCATAAAAATAGTATATCGGGCAGCTGGGAAGGGAAACAGGAAGACTACTTCGACAATATTTTCGGATACTCAGGATAACTAAGTTATTTTAAGGATAAAGGAGCTGACTATCTGCTGCTCCAGAAAACTTCAATTAACACTGCAGATTTCTCAGCACCTCTGAAAATTATATCCAATGGCTATAAATCTTTAGAATCTATATGTAATATGGTAAAGAAGAGTGTTAAATAATAAACGTTGCAAGATGGTATAACTGATTCAAAACACTGAAATGTATTTCTGGCTATCATTTCATTATTCCTATTTTCTGTACTCTTTACATGAAAGTGGGACATGCATAAATGCCTCTGGCATAAGGGAGCTTATTAAGTGCATCTATTAAACGTATTTCTACACCATATATTGTAGTTATTTTAGGAAGATACTGAAAGTGATAGCACTTCCAAGTTTTGTCCTCGTTTCTTGAAAAGGGGATTAAGGTAGCATGAGAAGAAAATTCTGATACATCTCTCAAATTTACAAAGAGTGTGTGAATCCACCTATCAGTTTCTAATGGCTTGTCTGCACTTTAAGGCCATGTCTACACTAGGAAACTATTTAAAAATTACTAAATTCGACTTAAGAACTCTCAATTTAACTAATTCAAATTAGCGTGCCTCCACTATGGGGAAACATTTAAAACAGTCAGAGGCTGGCTCCATTAATGTGGCCATGCTACCTCAGACTCAGAGACCCAGGAAGCACTCTGGGGAGCTGGAAGAGGCCTCCCGGAGGCCAATAAATTCAATTTAGTGGCACTGGAGCATCCACACTATTGTTATTTCTAAATTACTATTTCAGAATTAGCGTTATGCCTCGTGAAAAGCAGAAGTATAGAGTCTGAATTCTGAAAATCGTTAGTTCGAAACAACAGGCTTGGTAATTTGGACGCACTGCTTATATATTCAACTCAGCGGGGTGGGGGTGTTATTTTGGAATAAGGTCTGAGTGTAGACCAGGGCTAAACATTGCTGCAGTAGTGCTTCGGTGCAGACACTACTGAAACTGATGGAAGGGGTTCTCATTCGAAAACGTAATCCACATATCCCAAAAAGACAATTGTTAGGTGGACAGAATTGCCTTGTCAAACTAGCACAGCCTACACTATGGAGAATGGCTTAAATACACCACTCAGAAGTGTGAGCTCTTCACACTGCTGAGTGATACTTATTTTCTAGTGTAGAGCAGCCCAAAAACAAATGTAGCATGTCTAGGGTCTATATGTCATGTTAACATAACAAATTTCATCTACTATATTAAAGAAGGCCATCATACTATATGTCCAAAAAAATTACAGGAATGGGAAACCAATACTAACCTACTTCACATTGAGCAGCAGTGATAGAATAAAAGACAAAACATTTCTGTTCTCAGATTCTATCTTTACAAATACACTGAAACAGAAATATTCAATACTCTCAGAGAAATAGATTTTTCTAAAACATGAATTGTATCTCACAATCCATTTTGTTTAGAAAAATGTACATACTCTGGGAGACTAATGTAAAATATAATCATCACCTTTATGTTTTCTTGAACTAGCAACTGCCTCAAAAATGATCTACAAATTATGTGAATTGTGGCTGTTATACAACAGTCTCAAGTTTAATTTATGGATCTGGAACTAAGAATTTAGAAGCAGATGTGTTTCAGGTTCATTAAATTCATCCTCAGAAATGCTTTGTTAACAAAATAATTACTGGAACTTTATAAAATGGCTTTTTTAACTAATAAAAATACACAATATTTTCTGCATTAGACTCAATCTTATTCTATAGTTATCTTTAAAACAGGATAAACCACAACTAGAACATGTTTAGAAATCCAATGGTATACCTACATCTGCTGTGATATCATTGAATTTTGTTATAAATGCATGTTTCACAATATCCACTGCAATTTCTGATGCAATGACCATGCAGACATCTGGAAACAACACCCAAAGGTGATCTGAAGGTTAGGAAAAAATTAGAAGTCAAGTAAAGAAAACTCACAATCATTACTTAGCACAGCAGTCAAACTTTCAAAGGTATGAAGTGGTATGTAGATACATATTTCTAGCTCAGAAATGAGTGTCCTGCAGAGATAAATTCCCATCACAGTATCTACTATGGAGAATTATTTGTATTAACTTAGCATCTAAAGGCCCCAGGAAGGGCCAGGCTCTGTTGTGTTAGACCCTGCACTTTAAGGTCTGATCTTCACTAGGACAAAGGTATGTTTTTAGCATGTGATAGCTATCGCGTTAAAAATAAAGTGTAAACAAAGCAATTGCAGTTAAACATGTTATCTAGTTAAGGTAAATCCACAGGCCAATGTGTTAAAAACACTTTTTATCTTAGGAAAAAAAAAGGCAAAAAAAAAAAATCAGGCCCCACATCACTAAATACATTTCCAATCTGCTACATTAGAACAATCATCAATGTTTAACTGAATTAAGTGTTTAAAAAAAAAGCTTCAGAGGGGTAGCCGAGTTGATCTGTAACTGGAAAAAATCTAAACAACGAATGATCTAGGCTGGCGCCCTATCCCCTAGGCCACGCGGGTACCCGCCCCTCTACCTTACCGCGGGTAGGCCCTTTATCCCACCTTGTTCAGTGGAAGTGGGTTGTACCCATGAAAGCTCATGATACCATCTACACGTTTTGTTAGTCTTTAAGGCACTGCTAGACCATTTGTTGTCTTTAAAGTTTAATATTAAAATCAGGATAGAAACTTTTCAGTTTTATAGTTGTTTCCTTTCTTGCCAGCATAAGAAAATAATTACACTTTTCTAGCAGAACTTCTTTAAACTAATAGATTCTGAAATTAAATAAAAAACATAACTTTTCAAAACACATCAATGTTTATTCACAGCGCAAAGGGACATGCTTCCATTGGAATCACCATTCACAGAAAATTGGAAATAATTTAAAGATAATTCAGGTCTTGTAACCTGAGATCACAGGACATGGATTGTAAGAGTATTGCTTGCTTTTTGACTTTCCGATTGCCATGTTGAGGAAAGTGGTATGTATGACTGCTATGTGTGCGGACTTGTAGTAGGAATGGAAGCGACTAGTTGACTATCGATAAGCATAAACTTATCGATAGTCAACTAGTGATGCAACTAGTTGCTCCCCCTCCCCCCACTTGCAATTAGAGAGAGGCAGCGCGGGGGGAGGGGGTGCGGAGCTGTTGCTGGGAGGAGCCGGCTTAAAAGCTGGTTTCCCCCAGCACTGTCTCCACCGGGGGCAAATGAAGTAGAGGCACAGTGGAAAACAGTGAGAGTGGAACTGAAGCAGTCTCCACTCATGCCACTCTTGCTGAAATTCTGCTTTTGAAATGTACAAGAGCTCCTGCCCAGCTCTTGTACATTTCAAAAGCTCAGGCACTGCAGGGAGTGTGGGGCCAGCAGAAGAGTTCCCTGCTGGTCCTGCGTTCCCTGCGGGGCTTCTTTTTGAAATGCAGAAGAGCTCCACTGGGGCTCTTATACATTTCAAAGGCTGAGGCACTGCAGGGAGCATGAGGCCAGTCCCCCACTGGCCCCAAGCTTCCTAACAGATTTCTGCTTTTGAACTGTAGCAAGAACCCTGCAAGGGTTCTTGCTACAGTTCAAAGGTGGAGGCACCCTTATAGATTAATCAAATAGTCTATGGAAATCCCTAAACTAAATTTAACACCCCTAACTTGTAGCATTGTAATTACATACTAACAAGTGTGTAATTTAAAAATCACATGTTTTTCAATACAGTCATTACCTGGATTCCATGAGAACTGTTCCATATTTCTTAGACATACTATCAACAGTAGCACATAGTTAGTGAATCTTTCCTTTATGTCTGGAAAAAAAAATCAATTGTTAACTCCAAATAAAAGTTATTTATATGTATTATAGTAGTGTTATTGTACTAGGCATTAGACACATAGTAAGAGGCAATATTTGCCAAAAATTTCTCAGATTCAGAAGGGAAAACATGGGAAAACATTACTTGTCACTTCAAGTAATTTTCAACTCAAATTCCTACTTCCTCTAATAGGCAGAGATCAGATATATCAATGAAGTAATATGTACTTGGTGCTCCAGTGAACTTGAACGGCCTTAAATTCATAGAATCATAGATGACCGGGTTTGGATGAGATCTCAGGATGTTATCAAGTTCAACTCCCTGCTAAAAGTTAACTGATCACACCATAATAATCTGTCCTGAACAGCATTAAAGCAACTTGGAGAAAGGTGTCAGTTGTGCTCTTGTTAAGGTAAAAAATGGTTCCACAAAGGCAGTCAAGCTTGATACAGAATAATTTGCAATGCCAGATCAGAACACGTCCTCCACTTCGATATCCTGCATATGACAACAGCTAATAGTCAATATACTATGTGCAACATTTATAAACACAGTATGATAGACCAAGTTTAAGAGGTCTTCTGCTCATCTAGCTATCACCATGGTTCCCAACTGCTGGTCCATGAACTCTTCCTTGCTGGGCTGTGACAGACTGCCAGGCCACTTCCTTTCCTGCTAATGAGTCCCACCCGCTGAGGTTCCCCATGCAGCAGCAGGTGAATGGCGCAGCAGGCAGCCGCGCGTGCTGCAGCTGGAGCCAGGGCCGCGGTAAGGCCGTCCCAACTGGGCCCGACTAACCATAGTCCCAGTTCCAGCTTTGGCGGCTGCTATGCTCCCTTTCCAGCTCTCTTTCCTTGCCCCAGAGGGTCACCACCAGGCACTGGTTGATCTGGGCTGCAACCTGTTTTCCCCAAAGTGTTCCTGGTTGGTTGGAAAGTGCTGCAGCGACTATCTGCCCAAGAGACAGATCAGCCAAATCCCCCTGCCTAGATCTCTGCCTCCCCCTGGGCTGGACTGACTGTGGGCTGCGCTTGCCCGCTAGCGACTTTTGTCTTGTACACTAGCAAAAGTTATGAAGCCTTGTGGGAGGCGTCTTCATCAGCAGCCAGTCCAGCCGTCCATACTCCGGCATGGGGACTTTGGGCAAAGTAAGAGCCTTGGGCTGGTTGGTATTGGCAATACATGGTCCCATTTCCCATGGGATTATTCTGGGAAGGTCTACAAACTCCCAGCTGGGAGTGGGTCAGGGTACTGAAAAGGATTCCTGGGTTTCAATGGAGAATCACCACTGTATGTGCTACCCTTCATGGGGTTTGCTGCTGATGCAGCTCTAAATTGGTTGCAACTCTTCTCTATCCACTTGTTCAGAGGCCATCTGGGTCCAACAGCCAGGCAGGATTCCTGTGGTCTCAATTCTTCCTCCCATACATTTCAAGGCAGAAAGAAATATTTTTTTATTTTAAAGTTAATAAATCACCTTACAGCTCTGACTGTAGCCAGCTATTTGTATTAACTACTGTCCTACATTCCTTCAACTGCTCTGGCCCAAGGAACAGCTGGATAGAGGCAAGAAATCTGAAATTTGTGTGTGTGACAGGTGGTTTATGGCAGGGGTTTGAGTGCGCAGAAACTTTGAGTGTCCCAAAAAGCAGTGGGTAGAAGCTCCCAGACTCTGGCTCAGGGCCAGGAATGTGCATTTTGGCATTAGTAAATGTGAGTCTGGTAAGCCAGAAAACAAACGCTGGTATTACAGAAAATGATTATTTTTAAAAAACCTTTTAGAAGCTGTCTTAATGAGACGTTAGTCACATTTTAATAGTTTTGTTAGTGCTGCCACTTAGAATTTCTTCTGTTTTTATTGCCTGGTTTTTCCTCAGAGAAAAAAATTTGTTTTCTATTCATGCTTCTCATGCATAGGAAGCAAGAGAAATCATGGTTCAAGGAATCCAAAAAGCACGTCACTTCCTTGATTTTGTCATGCTCTATACATTATTTTTATTATCCCCAACCTCTGCATTCTGTATATTTGAAGAGCACTTTATTATATTGGCATTACAGTGCAAGAATTCACCATCTTTATACCTCTGATAAAGTCCATATGACCACCCTAGCCACATCAGCCCAGAATCCACAAAAGCCACTCATTTATGCATGCACACTGCAGTTTCATTTTTTCCCCTGGCTGGATGTTGCTGACATGAGGGTTAAGATCCCCCTGCCCTCTCCTGTGCCATCATTAATGTTTTTTTGACAAGAAAGCACTATGCATATTTTTTGGCTATGAGTACGCACAGGAGTAATGTAAAATAACATGAAACCGCTTAAAATTCATTACCATAATGAATATGTAAATGCTTCAGTGCCGATCCACTAGGGATGTTAAATTTAGATGAATTAACTAATTGAATAGTTGATGGGATTTCCATCGACTATCTGATTAGTCAATAAGGGTGCCTCAGCGGAACCAGCTCGAGCAGAGACAGCTTCAGTCCCTGCTAGCGCCATTTCCCATTGTGCCAATTGTCTTCTCCCCAGCACCAGCTCTTCCTTCCCCCCTCCCCTTGTTGCTGCTTCTCTCTGATAGAGGCAGCAAGTGGGGGAAACAACTAGTTGCATCACTAGTTGAGTATCTGATAAGCTTATGCATATTGGATAGTCAACTAGTCGCTTATATTCCTACAAACCACCAAAAGTTTTTGAATGAGTTTGCTGGTCCGCACTATAAAAAAGGTTGGGAATAATTGTGCTAGCACATCTGTGTGGACGTTACACAATAACTCTGGAACAGTACCTTTAATCAACTCCAAACTTCAGTAATTTTTCTAAGCATCAGTGGGCAGGTAAGTTTTCAACAATTACATGGTTACCCTAATACACGATTTTTAAAATCCCTACTTTGAAACTTCATATGAAGAACGGAATTGCAGTCACGGAGGGTTTTGCGCTCTCCCCAGGAAAATACATTCAAGATCTGTGAATATTACCTATCTATATCTCACTCCACCTTCGCTATTCCTCCCAGTATATGAAATACATGAAAAAAACGACTTTTTGAGAGAGGAAGGATGATCCACTATTTGGAGTGCCCAAGTTCAATTCCCTGCTCCACCACACACATTCCATGTGACCTTAGGCAAATCATTTACCCCTCTAAATCTCAGTCCTCCATCTGGAGAATGAGGATAACAGTATTTTCCCTACTTCATAGTGTCGTTGTGAGAATATATTAAAACTATAAGCTTCTCAGCTACTACAGTGATGGAGACCCATATGCATACCAGGGAGAAACAATGAGACAACAAAAGTCTTAAGACAATAATTTCTAGCTTTTCTAGACCAACAATTTTGAGAGAGATTGCTTGCCCACTCTCACCTTATGCCACATTCTAACAAGCTTTATCCTCGGTAATTTTTTTCTTCATTAGGTTTCTTGAGCATTTATAATTTAATTTCCTGAAATCTCAGACCCTTGTTTGATTAAGTCATTCCTTACTATACAGAGTACCAACAGCAGCAAACTTTCCTATTATCATCTCAAACCAATTATTCCCAATTTGTAAGTATAGTTAAGATGGCTTCACTTTTGGTTGGATTCTCTCATATCTGGATCATGAAGTTTTGCTTCACATAATTTAGCATTTAATTGATTTTTAAGCTCCCTCATGAATATAGTATCTTAGTTTTATCTTGCCCTCCAGAAGATTCTGTAGCAGATGACCATTATAGATTCAGATTTTTTACTTCCTATATCTTTAGCCAAAAAAATTAAATTATAACTCATAATTAGGGATGCAAAAATGTGTGTAATTAAGTAACTGTGTAACCACTAAAAATTTCAGTGGTTACACTTGGGGCACCAGGCGACTCCCTGGAACCTGGTACAATTGGGGGGGCTGGCTTTGAAGTGGGGTCCCCTTACATACCAACTCCTGCCTGCCCTCTTTTCCTGCACTGCTGCCTCTGTATCATAGACAGCAGAATGGCGAGGGGTGTGTGTGTCTGGTGGCTTCCCAGGAGCCAGTGCACAGAGGAAGTATACTTTTAAGTTGGCTCCCCATGCGAACCAGGTGCCTACGTGTACCTGTGAATGTTAACTGATGAGCCAAGGCTCATCGGTTAACCATGTATATGGTTACACTTTCACATCCGTACTCAAAATTACATGATATTTTACTAGTTTTATAAATACTTTTGACATAATATGTTAGGAATCCATTCTGAAGCACTTGGAACAGAGGAAAGTGATCAGGAATAGTCAACATGGATTCTCCAAGGCCAAGTCATGCCTGACCAATCTGATTAGCTTCTATGATGAAGTAACTGGGTCTGTGGACATGGGGAAGTCGGTACATGTGATATACTTTGGCAAAGCTTTTGATACGGTCTCCCGCAATATTCTTGCCAGCAAGTTAAGGAAGTATGGATTGGATAAATGGAATGTAAGATGGCTAGACTGTCAGGCCCAACTGGTAGTGATTAAAGGCTTGATGTCAGGTTGAAGGTTGGTTTCTAGTGGAGTGCCCCAAGGACTGGTTCTAGGGCCGGTTTTGCTCAACATCTTTATTAATGACCTGGATGAGGGGAGGGATTGCCCCCTCAGCAAGTTGGCAGATGACACTAACCTAGGGGGACAGGTGGATACGTTGGAGGGCATGGATAGGGTACAGAGTGACCTAGACATATTAGAAGACTGGGCCAACAGAAATCTGATGAGGTTCAACAAGGACAAGTGTAGATTCCTGCACTTGGGATGAAAGAATCCCAGCATTGTTACAGGACGGGGACCGAATGGCTAAGTAGCAGTTTGGCAGAAAAGGACCTAGGACCTCATCCAATACAGTGGATGAGAAGTTGGATATGAGTCAAGAGTGTGCCCTTGTAGCCAAGAAGGTGAATGGCATATTAGGTTGCATTAGGAGAAGCATTACCAGCAGATTTATGGAAGTGATAATTCTCCTTTATTTAGCTCTGGTGAGGCCACATCTGGAGTATTG